ACTTTGTGACAAATGGGAAGATGTTCACCTAGACACTTTGTGGCAGAGCGGAAGATGTTCATCTAGACACTTTGTGGCAGAGGGGAAGATGTTTACCTAGACACTTTGTGGCAGAGGGGAAGATGTTCACCCAGAAACTTTGTGGCAGAGGGAAGATGGTCACCTAGACTCTTTTTGTGGCAGAGGGGAAGATGTTCACCTAGACACTTTGTGGCAGAGGGGAAAATGGTCACCTAGACTCTTTGTGGCAGAGGGGAAGATGTTCACCAAGACACTTTGTGGCAGTTTGGAAGATGTTCACCTAGACTCTTTTTGTGGCAGAGGGGAAGATGTTCACCTAGACACTTTGTGGCAGAGGGGAAGATGGTCACCTAGACTCTTTGTGGCAGAGGGGAAGATGTTCACCAAGACACTTTGTGGCAGTTTGGAAGATGGTCACCTAGACTCTTTTTGTGGCAGAGGGGAAGATGTTCACCTAGACACTTTGTGGCAGAGGGGAAGATGTTTACCAAGACACTTTGTGGCAGAGGGGAAGATGGTCACCTAGACTCTTTTTGTGGCAGAGGGGAAGATGTTCACCTAGACTCTTTGTGGCAGAGGGGAAGATGTTCACCAAGACACTTTGTGGCAGTTTGGAAGATGGTCACCTAGACTCTTTTTGTGGCAGAGGGGAAGATGTTCACCCAGACACTTTGTGGCAGAGGGGAAGATGTTCACCTAGACACTTTGTGGCAGAGGGGAAGATGTTCACCAAGACAATTTGTGGCAGAGGGGAAGATGGTCACCTAGACACTTTGTTGCAGAGGGGAAGATGTTCACCTAGACACTTTGTGGCAGAGGGGAAGATGGTCACCAAAAAACTTTGTGGCAGAGGGGAAGATGTTCATCTAGACACTTTGTGGCAGAGGGGAAGATGTTCACCAAGACACTTTGTGACAGAGGGGAAGATGTCCACCCAGACACTTTGTGACAGAGAGGAAGATGTTCATCTAGACACTTTGTGACAGAGGGGAAGATGTTCACCTAGACACTTGTGGCAGAGCGGAAGATGTTCACCCATACACTTCGTGACAGAGAGGAAGATGTTCACCTAGACACTTTGATGGCAGAGGGGAAGATGTCCACCCAGACACTTCGTGACAGAGGGGAAGATGGTCACCTGGACACTTTGTGGCAGAGGGGAAGATGTTCACCTAGACACTTTGTGACAGAGGGGAAGATGTTCACCTAGACACTTTGTGACAGAGGGGAAGATGTCCACCTAGACACTTTCTGACAGAGGGGAAGATGTTCACCTAGACACTTTGTGACAGAGGGGAAGATGTTCACCTAGACACTTTGTGGCAGAGGGGAAGATGGTCACCTAGACTCTTTGTGGCAGAGGGGAAGATGTTCACCAAGACACTTTGTGGCAGTTTGGAAGATGGTCACCTAGACTCTTTTTGTGGCAGAGGGGAAGATGTTCACCTAGACACTTTGTGGCAGAGGGGAAGATGTTTTACCTAGACACTTTTTGGCAGAGGGGAAGATGGTCACCTAGACTCTTTTTTGTGGCAGATGGGAAGATGTTCACCTAGACTCTTTTTGTAGCAGAGGGGAAGATGTTCACCTAGACACTTTGTGGCAGAGGGGAAGATGTTTCACCTAGACACTTTTTGGCAGAGGGGAAGATGGTCACCTAGACTCTTTTTTGTGGCAGAGGGGAAGATGTTCACCTAGACACTTTGTGGCAGATGGGAAGATGTTTCACCTAGACACTTTGTGGCAGAGGGGAAGATGTTCACCCAAGACACTTTATGGCAGAGGGGAAGATGGTCACCTAGACTCTTTTGTAGGGCAGAGGGAAGATGTTCACCTAGACACTTTGTGGCAGAGGGAAGATGTTCACTCTAGACACTTTGTGGCAGAGGGGAAGATGTTCACCTAGACACTTTGTAGCAGAGGGGAAGATGTTCACCTAGACACTTTGTGACAGAGGGGAAGATGTTCACCTAGACACTTTCTGGCAGAGGGGAAGATGTTCACCTAGACAATTTGTGGCAGAGGGGAAGATGTCACCTAGACACTTTGTGGCAGAGGGGAAGATGGTCACCTAGACACTTTGTGACACTTGTGGCAGGAGAAGATGTTCACCTAGACACTTTCTGGCAGAGGGGAAGATGTTCACCTAGACACTTTCTGGAGAGGGGAAGATGTCTCACCCAGACACTTTGTGACAGAGAGGAAGATGTTCATCTAGACACTTTGTGACAGAGGGAAGATGTTCACCTAGACACTTTGTGGCAGAGGGGAAGATGTTCACCTAGACACTTTGTGGCAGAGGGGAAGATGTCCACCTAGACACTTTGTGACAGAGGGAAGATGTTCACCTAGACACTTTGTGGCAGAGGGGAAGATGTTCACCTAGACACTTTGTGCAGAGGGGAAGATGTTCACCTAGACACTTTGTGGCAGAGGGGAAGATGTTCCACCTAGACACTTTGTGACAGAGGGAAGATGTTCACTAGACACTTTTGTGACAGAGGGGAAGATGTTCACCTAGACACTTTGTGACAGAGAGGAAGATGTTCACCTAGAACACTTTGTGACAGAGGGGAAAGATGTTCACCTAAGACACTTTGTGACAGAGAGGGAAGATGTTCACCTAGACACTTTGTGACAGAGGGGAAGATGTTCACCTGCAGTGGACACTTTGTGACAGAGGGGAAGGATTGTTCACCCTAGACACTTTGTGACAGAGGGGAAGATGTTCACCTAGACACTTTGACAGAGAGGAAGATGTTCACCTAGACACTTGTGGCAGAGGGAAGATGTTCACCTAGACACTTTGTGACAGAGGGGAAGATGTTCACCTAGACACTTTGTGACAGAGGGGAAGATGTTCACCTCTAGACACTTTGTGGCAGAGGGGAAGATGTTCACCTAGACACTTTGTGACAGAGGGGAAGATGAAATGTCATCCACCCAGACACTTTGTGACAGAGAGGAAGATGTTCATCTAGACACTTTGTGACAGAGGGGAAGATGTTCACCTAGACACTTGTGGCAGAGGGGAAGATGTTCACCCATACACTTTGTGACAGAGAGGAAGATGTTCACCTAGACACTTTGTGGCAGAGGGGAAGATGTCCACCTAGACACTTTGTGACAGAGGGGAAGATGGTCACCTAGACACTTTGTGACAGATGGGAAGATGTTTACCTAGATACTTGAATACTACTTTTACTACTTTCAACATGTAGTAATAAATTGATACCTCTGTGATAGATGTATAGATATCAACTCGTGTTATTAACAAGAAGGGACGTCACTAGTGATTTAAGCATCAAGCAGTTAAAAATATATGTATTACATAAAATAGTTTCTTTCGTTCACATAAGCAATTGAAATTGTTTATATGTCAGTAGAACTAAATTAATTTAACTGTTCTGTTTAAAGGGAGACACAGGCATTGTTTTCATTTCTTCGTTTTGAATTTTTCATTCATTATTTTGTAAATGTCCTCAAAATCTTTTTTCTCATTATAAAGTATTAAATGATGATTTTTCTAACCTGAACCACGTGGGTCAGGTTAGAGCTTTAAGATTTCACAATAGTTTTTACAGTGAACTTAGGAAACGTTAAACATGTTAAAGAACATGTCAAATGAATGACTTAGACTTGTTTCAATCATATTATATCCACAATACCTGTTATTATAACTTCCAGGTTTTTTTCAAGTCACAAAACTTGTTTAAAACTGCTCTGTGATTCTGTCGGCTTCTAAATTTCGTTCAACATATATAAACATATTTACGCTTCAAACCTAAAATATATCAAATTTAATACAGAAACTAATGCTGGGATTTTAAAAAAAATCCATTTTTGCGTGATTTGTTAGTTCATTAGATCATTTCTAATATTTTTGATCATTAATTTGCCTGAGTATCCCTTTAAAACATCCTTCTAAATGATTTATCAGTGCCGATCAGTATGTCTTATTTGGCATATAATTGTGTGAGTGCGTGCTTAAATATATATATATACAATGTATTGAAATTGTGTTTATTGGGTCTGTGTTCATGAATTCTGAGACAGCTGTAGTTATATATTTTCCCCCAAAACGAATGTATACCAACGAGTCTACTTGCGCCGGGTATTTCTTTTAATAAATTTCCTCAAGTGAGCAGAAACACTTCCTCAAAATTATTTTTATTAACATAAACGAAAAACAATTATATATAAATAGTTTACACTTTTTTTACGAATGCTTTATAAATACATGACTATTATAGCAGACAAACAGACGATAATTTACGTATTTCATTTTATTTTCTTTCACTAATGAAATAATAGCATTTCAGGCGGCATGCCTCCAGATGAGCCAAAATACTTTCAGAAAATTACACTTTTAAATCATTAAGAATTGTAAAAGGATTAAAGTAATTATTTACATGTTACGTGCGATTTTGTTATATATTTGTCACCATATTTCTACTCTGTGGATAACGCAGTAAAATAGGCAAAACAGAATCCCTAAAGAACGTTCAAGTTAACAAAATTGAAAATGTTGCAGGTCTGGTTTGATTAAAAGGGTTTTTTACATATTTTGACCTTTATGTGGTAGTATAAATATACTATATTTGTCCACTTCACAATATTTTACTTTTAAATACATTTTCAAAATATTCATGAAAATTAGCATGAATCTGGAGGCATGGTGATTTGCAGTGATTTTTTTCCCTCCTTAAAAAATATAAAAAATGAAAAAAAAAAATTTTAATATGAATTATAAAAGAACTCCCTCCTAAAAAAAAATCAAAAGCTTTTAGGGAAAAAATGTTCAATAATTTTAGCCCGGGGCATGAAAACCAAATAAATTTTTTGGACCCCGCGGATCCCGACCCCTCGCCCGCGCATTTTAGGATAATGCGTCCGTCATTAAGACGTGAAAACATGCGAACTGCTGCTGCATCAACTAGCTTTGAGGTCGAAACCATATGTTAATATTTTGTTTTTGGGTTTTTTTTATTTTCATTCTCGTTGTCATTTCTGTCTTTGCTATCTCAATCTGAGAGTTAATATTGTTGTTTCTTCCTCTGATTCCGTCTGGCTGCCCTTTTTTCTCGTTTCGCTTCTTTTCTAAGTCGAATTCCCTCGTAATCAAACATTCTGATATCTTGAATCATGAGCACCGCTACCAACACCAGCAATGATGCAGCGAAAAGAGTAAGTCCGAATGACCAATACACGTAATGATTTGAAGGTAGATTCAATGTCCATACAACTGCCCCAACAATAAAAAGACCAACTGAAATGTATATGAAGTCATCAACATAACCCTGTTAAATTTGTGTTATGATTTTGTCTAGCATTGGATCTGTAACAGTTTTTTTCCAATGCTTAAGAGATTTCAATAACTATATATGCAGGCTGGCCTTGGTTTATACCCTATGTTCCAGTGACCTTAACCTTAAACGTTTTATACAAACAAAATGGATGGGGCAGATAGAACATCTATATACATTATATGTAGTTCTTTGGTCAATGGCTTTTGAGCGTGTTAAATTATCCGGCAATTGTTCGTGTAAATCGACCGTTCCTGATTATTACTATCAAGGAGAAGGACGTGAAGTGGTTGCGCATTTGGTTCAAGCGAACGAAATGGTTACACACTTAATTCTGATAACAGATATAATCTGGTCATCATCATATATTGTGATTTTACGAGTGACTTTTCTGGTACGTTTTATTATTCATTTATTCACAACTGTAAGTTTTAAAGTTTATCAAAACAAGACAAAAATGTTGTTGTTTTTTTATTGAATCTTTATTTGGGACGTGGAAATTAAAACATTTATAAAGTTTTGACAGAAACATAATTTGGTCTTGTTTGATTAACTTTAAAAACTACTATATGTGAAGAATAAAATAGAAAAACAAACTAAGAATTTGACCCACTCCTCAAAATGACAATACCACGCCATGCTACTGTACCTACCGGATTTATCTTGCAAGGCAATGGATTCATGCGTGTTTGATAATCAAACACATATAGACAATATTCAAGTGGCAAACAGTATGTCTTTCAAGAAATAATAACTTTGTATTTTTGTTCTGAATTACTAAAATGACCTCGAACTAAATTGTTATTCAGAGTTTGATTGTTGTTCGGAGGATACAAAAAAAGTAATTTTCGCTCTTTAAAAATGACAATATGATGAATAAGTATAACGTGACTTACCAGAGATGAATGAAAATAACATTATCCATGCCGCTACTTTCTGTGTCCGAGCCGCAGGGGAAGTCACATAAAAAAGACTTAAAACAAAAGCAAGTGCCATGGGAATAATGACGGCACACTCGACAGCTTGTGTAACGTGGAACATTGCTGAAAGGTTAAAATATAGCTTAAAGTTTAGTCGTAACAGCTAACTTATATATTTGTATATATTATATATACTTGTATTACACTCACACACGTTGTGTATTAATTTCTAACTACGATTTTTAAGATAAAATTTTAACATACATTTCTTGTTATAACAGGACAAATCAACTGGATACCATATATTGACAATTAGTTGTTATAAAGGCAACAAAATTATTTCTGCTAAAAAAACAAACATTTATACAACAAATACTATGTATATTGTTTCAGTGACAAAGTTACGTTTCAATTATAAATTACTATTATCTTATTAAAAATATATCGTTTTATGAATAAGAAAATATACCTAATCTAAACAAGTTTTACCTGTTGAATAAGAACCTGGTATAGAAGTTCCAACACATGGTGTGGTCAAACTTCCGGAGCAATTGACCATCTTCCATAAGCCTATTGAAATATTAACGGAATTATTGATTGTACTGCTCTTCATCCAAAATGGCGTACCCAGTCCAGCACAGTACAATCCCATGGCTGGAATAAGCAACAAAAACGCCGCTTTTGACCATGCCGACGCTCTTCCGCAAAACGGCATTTTTTAGACTAGTCGGATAATCAACCGCGATACTTCCGTTTTTTCTTTCTTTTTTTTGTATCCTTCTCTACTTTAATATGTTTATTTCACAATTTTTCTGTTTAAGATTATAAATTTTTCCCAAAGTTTACATTGCTTAATCACATTCTAAATTTAACGAAATTCACAACTCATGCCAGTTAAATTGTACATATTCAAATTGCGAATAACACTGTTTTTCTTTTAATCGAATAACTTTTCACTTTGTTTTCTATATATAGTAAGAAAAAAAGGGGTTATCTGATTTTTGATTATTTAAACATAACCAACCATGACAGTAAAACATTAATTAAACAATAGATCTAGGACTACGTTTAATAGTACACGCTTTTAACAGTTGTAATTTCAATAGGTTCATATTACTTTTTACTTTATAACGAATAATGATATGTCATTATTCAAATCGTTTTTCCTGTTGTTGTTGTTGTTGTTGCTGCTGCTGCTGTTGTTGTTGTTGATGGTGGCGATGGTGGTTGTGAGGGTGTTGTTTCCTGAGACAAGTATCAAATTTTTTTGTTATTGTAAATTTAAAGGTCGATTAAATATAGTACAAATAATTAGATACGTTACGCTAAATAGTATTTACAAAAATATCCTATGTCTTTGTCCACTTTTTTTATATATGTGACAATTTGATCAATATTGTAACAATGTGTTGTTTTTTTAATCTCGTTTGCTTTTAATTTATTTAAAATATTATTACAATATCCTACATGTATCAATACTGCAGCCGTGTAAAATTTTGAGTGTTGTCTCTATTACTTTAAATCATAAGTTAAATTGCAAGTAGATATTAATACTGATTTTATGGATATTACATGTGCAATTTCTTTAACGCCTCCACTTCTTTCAAATAAATGAAATACAGTATCGCTAAATTATATCGCTCACCTTTGTTCAGGTGAATAATGTTACTATATATGGCAATGGTAAAAGATACTGCAGACTCTCGCTAGTAAATTACAATTATGTAAAATACCAAGAGCCTAGATCACTTTGATATATGGCAAGTATATAAATACTGTAGTCTTAAAACTGTCTGAAAAATTTACTTTGTCTTCAAGATTCTACGGCGTTCTCTGTTGCGTTTTTTATGGGTTTTTTTATATTCACTTTGAAATCTACCAGGTATTTTATTATGTTTAGAAGAGACAACAACTGCTCAGTATGTAAAGTACGCCGGAATCGTGATAGTGTCGCAATAAATCTGTTCCTAGTTTCTTTGTGGTTAGAATTTCTACAATGACATATAATCGGAGTATCTATAGAAGAAATATATTACCATGACTACGATAGACAATTATGGTAATAAATTCTGCAGTATTCAATGTACTAAATATATAAGATTTTTCAAGGAAAACATGTACATGTATACGTTAAGCGTATTGTTATGAGCGTTGTATGACTTGCATACTATAATGTTAAGATGTTAAATTAATATGTTTGAACCCACCATTTATCGAACGCTGCTAACTAAATATTTGTGTCACTAAAAAACTAAAATCAGAACACAAAAACTTAGTCAGCTCTTTTTTAGGTGCATTTTATGTTTGTTATGGCAAAAGCAATTTATTTTATGTTTACATAGTTCTAACTGAACTTCAAACAATATGCTTGTGATGTTGTCCTTAGGTTCATTGTTACTAAAGCTGTAAGATATTATGACATGTAAATGTATTTTAACATCAACAGTTTAACAAACAAAAAATACAATAGTTCAGCAATAACTTAAGTAAAGAATATATATTACATATTCTTTTAACAAAGCAAATCGGCTGGTTAGAGTCCGTGTACGACTATAATAACATAATGCCTCGGACTTAAGAAAAGATGGAATGGTTTCCATTATTCAGTCTGAAATCTAGGACCGAAAGTTCAGTGAAATCTGTGATGAACTTTTTACCTGTCTTGTTTGTTAGCAATATAATATTTCAACGATGCAATTTGATTCAAGGTCTTCATTATACGCTACGCAAAACATTTCTGAATTGTATAATACGGTAAATGTAAGTTAAGATTACGTGTCCGAATCTATACATAACATGAGGAAGAGACTGCTCTCCCATGGGCGGATTTTTAATTTGATGTTTTCTGAAAGTCACGATAGACACATTACTAAGGACATAAACTGTTTCATTTTCTTATTTCAGTATGCCTGTACAATAAAGGACAATAACCATGTTTCTAAGATATTCAGATCAAACAACTGAATATTTTAAGAAAATCTACTAATTTATAAATGTTCTCAGTTATTTAGTTTTGGGATAATATTAACACAATTTCATAACAGACTTTTAAAAGCCACTGACTGGCCATTAGAATTCAAAAAGCATTTGATCATTAAATTTTAAGTTCCATTGCGTAACTGATATGCTCTAAAAACTTCATAATGAGTCTGTCTTGATAATAGATAATAAATAAGTTTATAAGAACTAGCATTCAAAGCGACTTTTAAATTATATTCGAGTTTTTCGATGTAAGTCAATCTGGCACTCTTTGATACACTTGTAGTTTCAATTTTACAAATATATTAAAAAAAAGCTAAAATTCGTATTAACTGGCTATTGAATTGGTATAAATAGAAATAAAAGAATGTGTCAAGTATGTAATAAAGGAAACGTTGAAACTGAATATCATTTTACTTATACACACTCTCTTATAAGAGAATTTATTAGTTTAACACCATGGCTGACAATGTCTTAATTTGTATGTATTGTAAACTCAGATAATAAACGAAAACATTGTACATAGTGTTGCTTAATTTTTCAAAAAATCATAAAAAGTAGGACAAAAGATAATAAAAGATTAATGTAAAATTTATGTTTGTATAGTGTGTGTTTAATGTTTTAGTAGTTATGACTTTATAAAAATCATATGCATCTTATTTACTAATGCATATAGCTATGTAACATATGAACAATATATAATGAACTCAGTTACCATATTTTCATGCTGCGTCAATGACACTGAAAGTATATGTAGACGTTTGATTGAAATAATAAGCATGTTACCATTTATTGATAACAATGCTCTATTTGGTGTTCTGGGATTAATATGAATATGTAAGGGTTCATATTACCTTTAACAACCGTTAATTTCCTCATAGTAGGTTATATAATGATAATAAAAATTAGATCGAGTTTACGTCGCAGCAACGCAGTAGAGGTCATATGGCGACTTTTCAGCGTTACTGGTAGAGGAAGTATGTGCGTTATTTCAGGCACAAACGGGCACCTGAAGAGAACTATCGACATTCCGTAAGCTGGCTGAATAGTTCTCTCGAGGACGCTTACGCGACTCGAACCTACAGCGGATTTAAAGTCAACTATCTTAACCAGAGATAATGAAAGAAAAGTAAGATAAGTATATACATGTATACGAGGGATGATCAAAAATAAACCGGACTGTGACTGTCACTTGAAGAATTTCCGACCTATCACTTATTGTTATATATCACACTTAATCGGAAAACAATACCTGTAAACTGATGCTTTATCTAATTTGATAACGCAAAAAACTTCTCCGTAACAGCGAATTAAAAAACCATGGTAACGCACGCCCGGCGCAGTGCGTAAATTCGCCTTGACACCAGGCGCCTTAAGCTGCGTATATTTTACAATATGGCACATTTAGATTTCAAAGTACACCAAATCGTCAGGAACCAAATCCTTGACGTTGTCAGTAAAAATGACTTCATTTAAACCATATTTATATTTGCAATCACTATTCAAACGTCACATGTTAATGAAATACCCCCGTTAAAACTATATCGTTGGAATGTCTCGAAAATCGATCAATAAGAAAAATGTGTCAAAAATAAGACGAGAAACTGTTTAAAACGCAGAAAAAGATTATGGCTATCACGGGAAATGTCCCAGAAAACCACAGCATATTATTTTATTAGCATAAAGAATTAAGAAACGGTAATAGAAAAAATAGAAAAACAAGTAAGGGAGAGACAGAAAAAAGAAATTTTTCAAGGACGTTGGTGACGTCAATCTCCAAGACGTTGAAAATGGCCGTCGATTGACTGCGGAAATTGTCAACGATGTTCGACAGTAGCTACGGGACGGTGCAGTCAACTCTAAGGATTTTAAAATGATAATGATTAATGCATTAATTACATATATTGTATTCTTGGATTGAAATTGTATAAATTATTGTCTTATCTTACGCAGAAGTTTTAAGGAGAAATTGTGTCAACAATTAGACAGTCACTGTTCAAAATCGGCTATGAGTTTTATTTATTTTAAAATAATGACAATTTTGTTCATAGTTGTATTATTCTTTCAGTTTTTCTTATGTATGATACATTATCATTCAGCAACATTATTTTACATTATTTGTTATACATAATATAGTTTATTGCATGTGCGATTTTCCAACAATCAAGTTACAGAAGGAAAGAACGGAAGTTTGCGTCATTACAGGAGCTCTTTATCATCATCCATTCTTTTACAATACAATATGATACCCACTTGTACAGAAATATATATAGGCAGTGGATCCGCCGCATCAACAACATGACTGTACCACGTATTGGGCTACCCCGTGAATGAGTAAAAAACTGCTCCGTTAAGAAAAATACGCTTGTGACGTCGTTAACGTCAATTTTAAAGTTATACCGTGCGCCGCATTGCTTTACATGTACATGCCAATAACAGCATAACTTTTTTCTTTGTTAATATTTCTTGTTGGTATTTTTGTATCATTCAGGGGATATATTCCGATTTATTTTCCGTGTATTTTTATGTAAATTTATTTAACAGGTAAAGAGTCATCTACAAAGTCCGGTTAATTTTTGATCATCCCTCGTATCTGTATTACCTTACAGTAATTCTACACGACAGTAACTTTATATCTATGTAAAAAGAGTGCTTCAGTGTTTGTTGAAAAATCGATTTGAAAAATACATGTACATGTACTTTATATCAATCCTATCACCGGCGTAGTATATACTTTTAATTTCATTCAGTCCACGTTTCAATTAGCCAAATGACATTTATATGAATATGATTTAATTGATATTTTTTATCATTTGTAAGCGCCTTGTCAATCAATAAAATCATGACAACCGTATGGAAAAGACATAATAAGTACAACGTCGCTCTGTCGCCCCTGTCTCCTCATGCAATGATGCAAAGAGCAGTGTACAACTTCGCAGACCGAAGG